CCACAAGCTTATGTCCCGAGAGGTGATGTATGAGAGCAGAGGTCACAGGGAAGAGTGTACACTGTCGCCGCTTCCGAGCAAGCTGCGAGGCCAATAGTTGTGAGAGGTACATTCCTCATTTTCAATACTTAGGCTAGTGTGTTGATTGGCACTGGAGCATCGTATTCATTTATTGCCACGTCATTTGCATCATTGTTGGGGTTAGAGAGTAGGCAACTACAATCTTCACTTACAGTAGAGTCACCGTTTGGAGGCAAGGTCACCTTGACCCAAGGGTGTGTAATTGAGGTGGCAGGTCGACAATTTCCGTTTAATTTTGTACTGTTGGAAATGTCGGGCTTTGACGTTATCCTCGGTATGGATTGGTTGTTCACTTACCAGGCAATCATAGATTGTTATCGGGAGAGAGTTACGATGTGTACTACAAGCGGTGATTGTTTCATGTTTCTGGAGGATAGGTATAGTAGATCCTTACCCTCTCACAAGGCACTCCCTGCCCCTCCAAGGCAAAATGCAAGTGTTTGGTGCAAAACCAAACACTATACAGTCGAGTTCGGGGATCCTGAGGCAAGGCGCGTAGCCGAGACCTCCGGGAACTCCAAACGAACACAAACATGGATGATCACCGGGTGTTCAAACGGTGACGTCTAAGTCTTGAGGACGGTCAAAAATGGGGTGTCTACATTAGTATGCCCTAGAGGCTTATATTTTGTAAGGCCATCTAGTTCATTAAACTGAAAAGCGAATCTCGAATATTGTGGAAATGTACATTACAAATTGTAACCTCTTAACTCTCAATTCAATGAAAAAGATGACTTTTTGGGTAGATTATTATGTTTGTCTTGGCATGTTCTTGTGAGAAATTCAGGGCGTTACAAATTGGTATCAGAGCAATAGGCCAGAATACCTTGGGCTCGTGGGAAGTGATGTGTGTCACACTAGGGTCCTTAGGCTAGGACGGAATGCTTAGAATGCCTTGTGTGTTATGTGTCTTTATGTGATTATATGGGTATGGGGTTAGACTCCTATGTTATGACTTTTGTTTGTTACATTCATCGAAATCCTTTTGGAAAGGCACTTGATCATTGTTCTTTCCACTTGGAGGTCCTTGATTGCCATGGAATTAGCCAATATCTAGGGAGGAACTCATGTGTGCTTTTATATGATTGTATGTGTGATTGTTTGGATTATTTTACGTGGAAGTTTGTGTGTTTACATGGTGAATAAGTATGAGGATTAAGAATGGAACACTTAGGTGCGGAAAGTTGGTCTTAAATTTAATATTATGTTTGGACATGCTAGAGCTCGTGGTAGACCCCGTCGGGGAGGCAGGAATATTCCAGCCCAACCCGAGATCCCATCGCAAGAAGAAGAAGTGGGTCAAAACAATATACCCGTTCCACCGGCCCAAGAAGCTATGGAGGCCTAGGTTAGGGAAATGCCAAGGGCTCTACTAGAGTCCATGGAGATATTGAGAGCCAAGCAAGTGGCTAGAACTATTGAAGGAGAAACAAAAGCTTCATTTTTAAAAAAAGGAGTTCTTTCGTTCCAATCCCGCCGAGTATAGCAGTGAGCCTGATCCGATGAAAGCTGCTGAGTGGTTGGAGCAAATAGTCAAGTCTTTCGAAATCTTAGACATTCGAGAAAATGAATTGCGAGTGGCATTAGCGGCCTACCAGTTGAAGGGGGAGGGCGGGAAGTGGTGGAAATCCATAAAGCATAGGGTTGAACATACTTGGAAAGCATTTGTGCAAGCTTTCCAAGATAAATTTCTCCTTCCCATAGCTGGGGAGCGGTTGAGGAAACAGTTTGAAGAGTTGTTGCAACTTGATGCACCGGTGGCGGAGTTTGAAGCCAAATTCACTAGCTTATCATGTTGTACACCCGAATTAGTGGCAACAGAAGGGCAAATGTGCCTTGAATTTGAGAAAAGGTTGAGACCGAAATCTTGATGAAGGTGGTTGACAATATGATACGTGATTACGACCATTTAGTTGAAGCGGCAGTTCATGTGGAGATTACTATAGAGGCCAAAGAGGCAAGGCAAAGATTGAAGAGAGCAAGACATTCTGATGCTAAAGGTGACACGGGTTCTTCAAAAGATCTAAGGGTTCATCATCCTCCTTTCAATCGCCTCCACAACAAGCTAAATCCTCTAATTATGTAACAGGTGGAAGTTCGGGAAGTATGACCCGAGTTACTGGTGCTTGTTCTAGATGTGGCCAAATGGGTCACAAGGTTGCAGAGTGCAAATAGAAAAGTAGAGCACGGTTCCAACCTATGCGCCCACAGGGTCAACCTCAGAATAGGAGTCAGCCCTAATCTTGTTATCAATGTGGTCAGCCGGGACATTTGAAGAAGTTCGTGTCTCAGCAGTCTGGAGGTTTACAGATGGGTCAGGGATAGAGACAGTCTTATCAGCCTATTCAATCAGGTCAAGCATCTAGGACAGTTCAGGGAGCCACGTCTTCCCAATCCGCACCACAAGCTTATGTCCCGAGAGGTGATGTATGAGAGCAGAGGTCACAGGGAAGAGTGTACACTGTCGCCGCTTCCGAGCAAGCTGCGAGGCCAATAGTTGTGAGAGGTACATTCCTCATTTTCAATACTTAGGCTAGTGTGTTGATTGGCACTGGAGCATCGTATTCATTTATTGCCACGTCATTTGCATCATTGTTGGGGTTAGAGAGTAGGCAACTACAATCTTCACTTACAGTAGAGTCACCGTTTGGAGGCAAGGTCACCTTGACCCAAGGGTGTGTAATTGAGGTGGCAGGTCGACAATTTCCGTTTAATTTTGTACTGTTGGAAATGTCGGGCTTTGACGTTATCCTCGGTATGGATTGGTTGTTCACTTACCAGGCAATCATAGATTGTTATCGGGAGAGAGTTACGATGTGTACTACAAGCGGTGATTGTTTCATGTTTCTGGAGGATAGGTATAGTAGATCCTTACCCTCCTCATACTACCCATGTGGCCGGGGCTAATTTAATTCTTTTTAGCAACCCTTTTGGATGACGGAAGTGATGTAGTCCGAGATGAATTTCCAAAGGTAGTATTTGAATACCTCGATGTCTTTCCTGACGATCTTACAGAATTACCTCCTCATAGGAAAGTAGAGTTCACCATAGACTTACTTCCAGGTATGGCACCTATCTCATTGTCACCATATAGGTTTGCCCCAGTTGAATTGGTGGTTCTGAAGGAACAATTGCAAGAGTTACTTAGTAAGGGCTTTATACGCCCAAGACCTTACCTTGGGGAGCCTCGGCTTTGTTTGCGAAGAAGAAGGATGGATCCTTGAGATTGTGCATAGATTACCGTAAATTGAATCAAGCCACAGTTAAGAATAAATACCCCTTGCCTAGGATAGATGATCTCCTCGACCAACTTAAAGGCTCTCGTTGTTTCTCCAAGATAGACTTAAGGTCGGTTTATCACCAAATTTGAGTTAGAGAGGAGGACATTCCCAAAACTTCTTTTCGTACCCGATATGGTCATTACGAGTTCTTGGTTATGCTCTTTGGGTTGACAAACGCTCCAGCCACATTCATGGATCTAATGAATAGGATCTTTTAGGAGTTTCTTAACAAATTTGTGGTCATCTTTGTAGATGATATTCTTATCTATTCACCTTTCGAAGAGAAGCATGGAAGGCATCTTCGTACTATCTTGCAACTTCTTGCGGAGCACCATTTGTACGCAAAATATGAGAAATGTGAATTCTGGCTTTCTGAAGTGAAGTTCTTGGGTCACGTAGTCTCGGAGACGGCGTTATGGTGGATTCTTCAAAAATAAAAGCTATGCAGAATTGGGAGCAGCCTAAGAACGCCTCAAAAGTTCATAGCTTTCTGGGCTTAGTCGGTTATTACCGCCGATTTGTAAAGAATTTCTCTTCCATAGCATCACCATTAACCAGATAAACCCGTAAGGGAGTAAGGTTTGTTTGGAGCGAAGCTTATGAGAACTCTTTCCGAGAACTAAAGCTTAGATTGACCACCACCCCAATTCTTATCATTCAGGAACGAGGTTTAAGTTATACGGTGTATTGTGATGCCTCTAGAGAGTGGTTGGGATGTGTTCTAATGCAAGAGGGTAAAGTAGTGGCATATGGCTCGCACAAACTGAAGATTCATGAAAGAAGCTACCCGACACACAACTTAGAACTCGCCGCTGTTGTGTTTGCCTTGAAGTTATGGAGACATTATCTATATGATGAAAAGTTTGAAGTTTTCTCCAACCACAAAAGCCTCAAATACTTGTTCTCCCAGAAAAACTTGAATCTACGCCAACGGAGATGGATGGAATTTCAAGAGGACTATGATTTTAAAAAACACCACCACTTTGGTAAAGCCAATATAGTAATGGATGCTTTGAGTAGAAAATCGGTAAGTACGATGGCTAGTCTAGCGATGAGGGAATGGAAGATGATGGGGGATGCCAATAAATTTGCTCTAAAGCTCGGTGAATCTTCAGAACAAACTACCCTCTTCACCACCATCGCACAACCTACCCTTGTTGTGAGAGTGGTTGAAGCACAACTGGGTGACCTGGAAGTAGACTTAATCAAGGAGAAGATCTCTCAAGGGAATGAAGAGAGGGGTTTAAGTGTTCATACGGATTCTAGTGTTCGTTACCTTGATCGATTGTTCGTACCTGAATCCATGAGGAATGAAGTTGTGAGGGACTTACATCATTCTCGCCTAGCCGTGCATCCTAGAGGCACCAAAATGAATCATAACTGAAGTCGCCAATTTTGTTAGAGGGGTATGAAAAAGGATGTAGCTTCATTTGTGTCCAAATGTTTGACATGTCAACAAGTTAAGACTGAACACCAAAGACCAGCTGAATTGCTGCAACCTCTTCCAATTGCTGAATGGAAGTGGGAACACGTCAACATGAACTTTGTTTTTGGCCTCCTAGAACTCAAAGAAGCAATGATACAGTATGGGTGATTGTGGATAGACTTACTAAGTCCGCTCACTTCTTTTCCATGAGCATGAGAGATTCCAAAGAGTTTCTAGCTGAACTTTGTATCCGTGAGATTGTTCGCCTCCATGGGGTTCCAATGAGTATAGTGTCTAATAGAGATCCTCGCTTTACAGCGAGACTATGGCAGGGTCTTCAAAGTGCCTTGGGTACTCAATTGAATTTTAGTACTACTTACCATCCACAAACCGACAGGCAATCTGAACATACTATCTAGATTTTTGAGGACATATTGAGGGCATGTGTGCTAGATTTTAAAGGGTCTTGGGAAAAGCACCTACCCTTAGTTGAATTTGCTTATAACAATAGTTACCAAGCAAGTATTAAGATGGCACATTTCGAGGCATTGTATGGGTGTCTGTGTAGATCACCAGTGTATTGGACTGAAGTGGAAGATTCACCCTTGCTAGGCTCGGATCTAGTCCGTGAAACTATCGAGAAAATAGCCCTCATTTGGAAAAGGTTAGTCACCGCTCAAAGCCAACAAAAGAGCTATGCAGATAGAAGAAAATGACCCTTATCCTTTGAAGTAGGTGACCATGTCTTTTTGAAGATATCTCCTAGAAAAGGGTTGATGAGATTTGGCCAGAGTGGAAAGCTATCACCTAGATTCAGCGGCCCCTTTGATATCATTGAGCAAATTAGAGAAGTTACATATCGCCTTGCATTGCCGCTACGACTCTCTAAGGTCCACAATGTGTTTCACGTGTCTATGCTTCACAAATACGAACCCAATCCCTTTCATGTGTTAGATTGGACAGAGATTGAGATAGACGAAGATGTGTCTTATGAAGAAAAACCGCTCCAAATCTTGGATACTAGAGAACAAGTTTTGAGGGGTAAAACAATCCCCTTAGTTAAAGTGTTATGGCGCCATCACAATGTGGAGGAAGCTATATTGGAATGTGAAGTGGAGATTCGCAAGAAGTATCCCGACTTATTTTCTAAATTGTGATGTACTTGTTTTGTTGTTCCTTCTTTGTACTTGATGAATTGGGCATGAGCTAAAACCTTCTATTATTTCTTTGTCTTGGAGTCAAATTGATACATATTTTGCTTGGTTGTGAGATTGTTGAGGATTGAATAAATATGATATTGTTACCATACCATGTTATCTTGGTGAGAACGGATATTATTTCAAGGGCGAAATTTCCTAAGGTGGGGAGGTTATAACACTTGGATGTTTTAATTTATTGGAAGGTGTATTTAATCACTTTATTTTCTTTTTGGGAGTCTTTAGAGTTGTTGTATTTTAGTTTTGGAGGAGTATGATTTGATTTAAACTTGTTGGGTTTGTTTGTGCGCGCTTACTCTTGTCAAAAAGTTTAGAAATTCTGTTCTAGGGTTGACACCAGCCTTCCTAAGGATCTACCCTTACCTGTTGTTGAAATTTCTGGAAATGTTGCTAGAATTTAGGGTCGACACCAACCTTGGTAGTGTCGACACCTGTCTTTTGTTGTTGGCCTTAAGGGTCGACGCCAGTCTGGGAAGGGTTGACCCTTGTATATTGTAGAATCTGAGTTTAGTTGTTAAAATTTAGTGTGGACCCTTCTGGTCCAAGTGTCGACACCTTGCCTTGACAGCATTGTCATTTCTTCTTGAAGGGTCGACACCACCACACTAGGGATTGACCCCTGCGTGTTTATTTTCAAAATTTTGGGTCCAAATGGGCCCTACCCTTGGGGGGTTTTCGACTTATTCTTTTCAATGATCTTTGAGCTACTTTTCTACTACTATAAATAGACCCAAAACACTTCTCTCTCATGATTTTCTTCTCCTTTTTCCTCTCAAATCGTGAGTCTTTCTTCTTTTCTCTTTAAACTCAACTTTTTCCCACCTAGATCCTTAGATCTACTCACCTAGAAGTATCTTCTCACCTGGGTCCTTTGAGAAAGGTTGTAGAGCGCGTCAAGGGCTTTCTATTGATCCGAGAAGTTCATGGTTTCGTCGACCTTGGGTTTTCCGAGTTTTCCTCTTCACTTCTTTGAGGTAGGGATACTTTTAACTTAGTATTTCCTTGTCTTGAAGAGATTTCATGGTGTTGTTGTGGCTTATGAGCTAATTTGAGGAGATTGTTGGATTAATCTCATGTGTTACATGAATCAACCATTTTACTTGACTTTTGCTTGAAATTTCTTGACTCCTTTTTCTAAAATGTGTATATAATGTTGTTAAATCCCGTATCTATGATGAAGGAGAAAAACTCCTAAATTTGGTAAAATCCTAAATTCTCAACTTGAATAGAAAATACCAAATTGAATGGAATTTCCTTTGATTTATGAAATATTGTGAATAATAAAGAGATAAAAGATGTGGATGTTGATATGGTAAAAGAATTGTGGCTTGGATGTTATTTTTCTTTGAGAAAAATATTTTTGGGTGTCCACAAAATCCTGCCGTATTGTAGCCGACAAAAGTGAAAAAACATATGGTTTTCTTTGGGTGCCTACTCCCTGCCGTATAATAGCTGGCAAATGTGGGGGCGATTTTAAAACACAAGCAAATGGTGTTTTGAATTAGACTCTTACAGATGGACTCATGGCTTGCTTTCTATGGTTATGATTTTTTAATCGTTGTGCTTGACGATATGAGTGTAATTGTCATAGTTTGGTTATCATGTATCTATATGATTGATAAAGACTACATGTCTAGACAAAATCCCTTGTAATGTTTTTGTCGCAAGGATACCATAATCTTATTCAAGTGATTAAATACTTGGTTAAATGTATTCCTACTGAGTACATAGCTCAACCCTGTTTTATTTTTCAAGAAAGGATGAAGTACCACCCTATTTTATTTTATTTTTAGGCTAAAAGGATATAATGTGTCCGAAATGACAATTATTTGTTGAAATCAACCTATCTATCTATCTCTTAAAATAAACTTATCTATTGAAACCAACCTATCTCTTTGTCTGTTGAAATTCACTAAACTAATTATCTGTTAAAATATAATACATATCATTTATTCAACACTGTATTTGTTGAATGTTACACATTTTCCTACTCACCACTACTACCTATTGTCGCCGATCGCCGGTCAATGGTTACTGGCGACTTTTCCAATCAATTTTTCGTCAAAATTTTCTGGTGCTAGAGACTTTTCCGGTGTGTTCTTATTTTCAAATAAAATTTTATTTTGAATCTAATTCCTTATACCCCATTTGAAATGAACTTTTCACAAATTTTCCCAAAATAAAAAAGGTGAATTACATCGGCAGGTCCTGTATCTTCTTTTGTGTGTCATTTTAGTATTTATAATTTTAATAATCTCAATTTTGATATTTAATTTTAAATTTTATATCAATTTAATTTAAGGAAATTTTATATATAAATCTCATATAAGAAAATGTTGATCCATTTATTTCTAAGAGTTTTCTTATGAACTAATTAATCCTTTTTGTTTTGAAAAGTTGTATTTATTTGATTTGGTGCCACTTGAATTAAGTGAATATCCTTTTATGATTTATTTTTTTCAATTTTCTGATTTGTTTTTGGGATGAGAATAGAAAGGTGAGGTGTGAAAGATTCTTTTTGGGGGAATTGGTTGCTAAGGTGTCCGTTTTCGAGCTTGGAAATTTGCATTTCTGTTGGTGTGATTTTTTGGTGTTATATTGGAGTGTTACATTAAACTGCTACATTTGAAAAAAGTACACTAATGAGTTTTTGTGTTACGTTTGGAAAAAATACACTAAGAATTTTTTTAAAAAAAATGTTACGATGTTATGTTTGAAAAAAATACACTAATGAATTTTTTAGCGTGTTACATTAAAATGTTATATTCGGAAAAGTACACTAAAAAGTTTTTGTGTGTTACATTGATTAAAGTGTTACGTTTGAAAAAAATACATTAAGAAATTTTTTGGAATGTTGCGTTGTTACGTTTGAGAAAAATAAAGTTTTTTAGTGTATTATATTAGAGTGTTATGTTTGAGAAAAATACATTAAGAAATTTTTGTATATTACATTGATTAGAGTGTTATGTCTAAAAAGAAATACTGTAAGGGATTTTTTAAAAATGCTACGTTGTTATATTTAAAAGAAGTACACTAAAATTTTTTTTTAGTGTAAGTGTTATATTTTTAAAATGTTACATTAAAATGTTATATTTAAAAAAAAAGTACACTAACGTTTAGTAATCTATACTATATATTAAGCAAAAGGGGGTTTTTAACCTCAAGGCCTGTGGGAGCTTCAATATCTCAATCTGAATTTTCTAAATTTCTTGTTAAAAAAAAAAAAACTCAACATTTATTGATTTGGTCAAAATCTCCTGATCAACATTTATTAACTTTTTTCAATCCACATGTCTTTCCACATGCCTGCATTTATTTATATTAGAGTGTTATGTTTGAGAAAAATATATTAAGAAATTTTTGTATATTACATTGATTAAAGTGTTATGTCTAGAAAAAAATACAGTAAGGAATTTTTTTAAAATGCTACGTTGTTATATTTAAGAGAAGTACACTAAGAAATTTTTTTAGCGTAAGTGTTATATTTTTGAAGTGTTACATTAAAGTGTTATATTTAAAAAAAAGTACACTAACATTTAATAATTTTAACATTATGAGAAAATCTCTATTTATCCTTTAACACATAATACATGCATATTTATAATGGACTCTTTATACAATTTATACTATAATAAAACTTTTGAGTCTATAACCCAAAAACAAAAAAAAATTAAATAATTTATAAAATCACTATGTAAAATTGATTGATTCTTTACCTCTAATTTAATTAATAATATCAATTAAGATTTTTGAAGAAAACTTGTCACTGCTAAAACTATAGAACAAAATGTCAGATAAAAATGGAGAAGGTAATTGGGGATGATCTGAAAACCCCTAAACAGTAGGGTGTTTGTAAAATCCCCGAGCAGGCGTCATATTCCTTCTCTTCTTCTTCTTCATCTTGAGATGGATAATTCTACCCAGAAATCCAGCGAAGTGAGACATTTGTCGTCCTTTCTATGTGTGTATATATATATATATATGTTTGTGTTTGTGGATGTATGTATATATGTATGCATGAGTGAGGGTTTTGATTTTGATGTAGCTTGCTGTTGAGGACGCAGCTCCCGCATCCACCAAATCTGCAAAGGAAGGTAGGTTTGCGTTCTTTCTGATTAACTGTTGTTAAATTGTTTTTGATTTTGAGAAATTTGTGTTGTGAGTGAGGAATGTGGATTGTGTGTATGTAATAGTGAGTAAGAGAGAAGGACACAAGAGTGATGAGGCTAAGACGACCCTGAAGAAGGAGAAGAAGATCAACAACAGGGAAGATGATGCAGCTTCTTCACAATCTGATGGAGACCACAAGGTTTGACTAGCAACCATTTGTAGTTGTTTTCTACAACCTGTTTTTTTTTTTTTAATTACACTGTTTGTTGTTGTTGTTGTTTTTTTTTTATAGTAAATTTATGAGCAAAATTCAGTTTACACACGGGGCCAGAGCATTTTATCGTACAATTCAAATATAGTGAGAAAGTGACCATATTTGTATCAAAGTGCAAAAATGGAATACCTCAAACCTTATGCATTTTTTTTAAAATTTTATTTTTAGGGTAAATTATAGCGGTAGTTAAAAAAAAAAAAAAAAAAAAAGGTATTGACAAAAGTGTTGAATTATTTTTTTTTTTTTCAAGTTTAAAATTCAACTTGAGCTTGGCTCATTAGTTAATTTTTAATTTAAGTTTGGCTCGGCTAATTAAGTTCAAACTTAGCTTAAAACTGGATAATTAAATTTATTTTTGTTATTACGACTGTAGTCCTTGTGTTTAGTCTTTGTATCATTTGATTCCTACAATTTTAATTGACTTAATTTTGACTCTTAATTTTAGATATTGAGCCAATTTGGTCCAATTGGTAACAATGCTAGGATTTTTGATGAAAAATGATCGGGTGCCTCTATTTACACACCACATTTCATCTCAAGGCACACCACTACTCAATGCACACCTTTAGTAATTTGATAAATAAGAAATTTACTCAATACACATCTCAATCTTCCACCCATAATCTTTCATTTTTACCCTTACTTACTCACACACCCCACCTACAAGCTTCAATCTTCCATTGAGTTGGGTAAGAAAAAAGAGAAGAAATAATTATCAAAAAATCCATCGTATTTAGTTGGTCACCACAGAAAAAAAGAACCAAAAAAAGAAAAAAGAAAAAAGAAATATGAATACGAATATTTTAACTAACTTATTTCCATCTCAATTTTCTATTCCCTTGACCAATCAAGGATCCAAAGATAGTGTAAAAGAAACAAGAAGATAAATGACCATGAAGCTGATAAAAAAGTAAAAGTGACCATGAAGGCAGTTGTAACCATCCACAAGAACAAGAAAGCAGTAGTGATCAACCAAAAGAACATTCATATAGCAAGAGTAAAAATAAACAAAAATACAAGACTGGTTATACTCACTATAATTAACAACTTTAAAAAGAAGATCAAAATAAAAACTATAAGCCAATTAGGCCATGTTTGATCATTAAGATCTGTGTTGGGAAGGCGACGACGACGGCGACGGCGACGGCGGTGGCGGTGCAGTGATGAGGGGATGGTGTCGGTTGAAGGGTAGCGGCGGCAGAAAGAAGTAGGATGGCTGATGGCAACGGTTGATGCCGGCGGCGGCTACGGCTACGGCTACGGCTACGGGATAGAGTTAGGGTTAGGGCTATGGTTATGGTTGGAGAAGATGAGGATATTTTGGGAATATTTAAAAATTGATACTGCGTATTGAGTGAAAAATAAAAAAATCAAAATTGGGTGTGGTGTGCAATGAGTAATTGGTGTGTATTACATAAGGTGTGTATTACAACCCTTTATCTTTTGTGGTCATTTTATACTAGGTTAATATTGTAATAAAAAATAAATTAATTAATGGTGTGCCTTGAGATGAAAGGTGGTGTGTAAATAAAGACATCCAAAATGATCACTGAATTGATTGAGGTTAAGTCACTGAATTGATCAAATTTACAATTTTACTTCCAAATATATGACACATGCTACTCATGTGTGCATTTGCCATTAAAAAAAAAATGCTAATAACCAGACTCAATTAGACCAATTTAAGACAAAATTAAAAATTTAGGGTAAGAATTGAGTGATACAAGAGCCAAAATACAGGACTATTAGTGTCATTTGCCCTTATTTTTATTATTTTATTTCTCTCTCTTCTCTCATAATTTATAATTTCTAACATTAATTCAATTAAATTATAATTAATTATTTATTATAATTCTTACTTTTTAATTTAATTTTAATTTAATTATATTTTATATCACAATTAATCCTAAATCCTTAATTATTTATTATAATTCCTAACTTTTTAATCTAACTATAATTTAGATCACAATTAATCCTAAATTATTTATTGTAGTTCTTGGCATCTTAATCTAATTTTAATTTAATTATATTTTAGATCAGTTCTTAATTATATTTTTATTTTAATTAAAATCTTAATCTAAGTTTGGAGTTAAATTGTCTTCTTGTTGTTTTCACTTTATTTTTTTAGAAAACTAAGTCCACTCTAAAAAATAGCAAGTGTGATACACAAACTAACAGTGACACTTTAAACCAAAACCACATGTGAATTTTCTGGCTATATTTGAACCATAAGGTAAAGTGTTTCAGTCTCAAACCACGTGGAGGTAAAATGAAGGGGGACTTACGTGTAGATTCTAATAGGTGAACTTATTGTCCAGTAGGTCCTGTGAGAATTAATCACGTTTTTCATCAAACACTATTAAAAAATGTCACTAATTGTTAATTTTCAGTGACAATTTGTAAACTTTCACAAAAAATGTCACTAATTATAAGTTTAGCGACAATTTATAAAAATCATGACAAAAAAGTCACTAATTGTCAATTTTTAAATTTTTAGTGACATGCAAAAAATCATCACAAAAAATTACTTTTAACGACAATTTTACTAAGATTGGACTTGATGAGAATTAAATCAAACTATTAGGACGTATTAATAGTTTATCCCTTAGTAGTAGTAGGAATCGTGGATGATACCCACAAATCTGAGGAAGAAGTGCGATTTTGTGCTTCTGAGGAAGAATCGGAGAAGAATTGCGAGTTTGAGGTGTGACGTGAATATGATGCGAGAAGGAAGCGATCAGGATCTCGAGCTCTCGACCTCGACCTCACTCTCGATCTCTCTGTCTTCTCTCTCTCGATCTCTCTGTCTCTCGATCTTCTTCTCTTTCTAGATCGAGAGAGCTTCTTCTCTCTCTACCTCTCGTTTTCTCTCTCTTTTCTACTCGATCTCTCTGTCTCTCGTTCTTTTTTTCTCTTTGATCATCTTCGTCACTTCTCTCACTGTCGATCTCCCCTTTATCTCTGAGCTTCTCTCTTTCTTCGTCTCTCAATCTGTTCTCTGCTCTCTCTCTCTCTCTCTCTATTTTAATATAATTTACTATATATAATATAATCAATCATATATAATATAATTTATCACATACAATATATATATAAAATAAAATTTATAAATTATAATTTTTATCATATATAATAAAATATCTAATTGTTATTTCTTTAAATATCATATATAATAATAATTTTTGTAAATTATTATTTCTTAACTTTTTAACATATAATAAATAAAATAAATCTACCTCTCGTTTTCTCTCTCTTTTCTACTCGATCTCTCTGTCTCTCGTTCTTTTTCTCTCTTTGATCATCTTCGTCACTTCTCTCACTGTCAATCTCCTCTTTATCTCTGAGCTTCTCTCTTTCTTCGTCTCTCAATCTGTTCTCTGCTCTCTTGTCTGTCTCTGCTCGCTCTCTCTCTCTCTCTCTCTCTCTCTCTATTTTAATATAATTTACTATATATTATATAATCAATCATATATAATATATATAATATAATTTATCATATACAATATATATATAAAATAAAATTTATAAATTATAATTTTTATCATATATAATAAAATATCTAATTGTTATTTCTTAAAATATCATATATAATAATAATTTTTGTAAATTATTATTTCTTAACTTTTTAACATATAATAAATAAAATAAATCATCTAATTGTTTAAAAGAAATCTAATTAAATCATATATAATAATATCACTCCATTATCACTCCATAAGCGCTCCCAATCTATGACTCCTTTAAGTGGTCACGTTCCCCCACTCCAGCTCCCGCTCCCGCTCCCGCTCCCGCTCCCGTAGGTTTACCCTAAAATAAATTTTGATCTAAATTTATTGTACGTCTTTGTATTGTTCTTTTACTATTTACTATATGTTTTGAATATTGCTGTATAACAGATTGAATACCGATTCTAAACTATATTATAGTGGTAAGGATTTACACTTGAATGGGGTAGGAATAATAGTTGTCAAGGATCTTGTAGAAAATGTAGTTGCGGTCATTAGGAAAGGTGATAGGATTATGTTAGTTAAATTAGTTATTGGAGAGAATATAATAAACATTATTAGTGCATACGCCCCCCAAGTAGGATTAGATGATTAGACTAAGAAAGATTTTTGGGACCAAATGGATCGTAGGAGAGAACCTAGTTATAGGTGGTGATTTCAATGACCATGTAGGAATAGATAAACTATGATATGAGAGGGTGCATGGTGGGTATGGTTTTGGTGATAGAAATAAGGCTGGAGGGGATATTTTGGATTTTGCGTTAGCTTTTGACCTAGTGATGACCAATAATATGTATAAGAAGAGAGAGGAGCATTTGATAACCTTTAAGAGAGAGGAGCATGCGATAGACACTCTTCCAGACTCTTTCTCAAACCCTGTCTTTGTTTTGCTTCAGGAGTCTCCTGTCAAATCTGTGGTGCCTTCAAACAAACAGCCAGTATCTGCTTCTAAAAATGGTACTGCGGTGTCCAGCAGTTCTGATTCTGAGGAAGACCAAGTATGCATAAGGGTTAAATTTACAAGATTATTTACCTGAGTGATTTCTGATATTAATTTTCTACTGTTGCTAGTTCATTTTAATATCTCTGTTACTCTTCTCCTTACCATCTATTAGTATTTTATTGTTTGTTTTTATAAATAGGACCCCAAAAGCAAGGTAGCTGTTCCTACAAAAAAGGTGCTTGTAGCAGCTCCCAAAAATAAAGTCGAATCCAGTGATGATTCCAAGTCAGATGACAGCAGCAGCTCAGATGATGACGTAAGTTCAGTGTTTTTTGGATTCTGTTTAATGATTACTGATAGTTTTGTTTATGAGAATTGTAATGGCTACCATGATAAGTCATTATACATATTATATCCAGAAGAAAATAATACCACCCACCCTAGGGAAGAAGCCTGCAGCTGTCCCTGAAAAGGCGGTAGACCCCAGTGATTCCAGCTCTGATAGCTCGTCAGATGAGGAAAATGTGAGACTGCAAATGTTGTCATTTCAATTACCTTTGGAGTAAATTCTCGATACTAACAAAGGTTATTGATTAGGGTCAGAAGAATAATGTCAAAATGGCTGCGTCCCAACCCAGGAAATTGCCGTCAACTACAGTTAAAAATGTTTCTGTTGCGATTGTCAAGAAGAAAGATGAATCAAATGGCAGTTCAGAAGAATTATTAGAGGATGAAGATGTGAGTTTACCGCCTCTATTCTACTTATTTTGTATCATTATTTGTGATGTCTTCTGCTGTCTGACTCTCACAAAATGCATCATGTGTTAGGGTATCACGATCCGAGAGAATTTGCCATTTAAACTCATAAGTTACTGGTGTATTCAGGAAAATGGGCACCCCCACCTCTTTGTATCCCACTTTCAGTACCACAGTCAAAATTTGGTCCAGATTTGGATGCTTTATTAAGAATTGAATTGAAGTGCATATTGTTATAACACTGCACTTGATTGTGAGTTTGAATCTAAATGGTGGCCAGTTTTGGACAAAACAATATGTTTATGTAGGTTAGTGAAGCCTTAGGCACATATAAAGTGATGGAAATCATTATAAGTTGCTCACTACTTTGCTTTTTTCCCCCTGTTGCTCATGGATATCATATGTTGTATTCTACTATTTGCCTATTGGAATGCAGGCCCTGGCGACTAAACTTGTCCCTTCAAAAAGGTCATCTTCAGCAACTGAAACAAAGGAATCTAAACAGGTATATTCATGGTGTCTACATTTCACACTTCTGTTTAGTTGATAGTGGAACAAAATGGCCACAAAGCATCTCGTGAAAATGAGAGTTCTTTTGTGTTAGGCTACAGTTTATGAGCAACTCTCGTGGGGTTTTGGAATTTTTTGGCATAATTTTTTGTTTCTTTGACTGTTGTACTGATTTCATGTAGCAATGTTGTTGTACTTCTGTAATCACAGGAGGAGGCATGCCTTAAAGAAGCAGACAGTGATAGCAGTTCAGAAGAGGAGCCTCAAAGGAAAAAGATGAAGGCCCAGGTAGGTTATATTGTTAGCATCAATTATAAGCCACAAGTTTTTATAGTCTTCTTGCTACATTAAATTGCATTAAGTGATCACTTTGTGAAATATGGTGCAGCCCACTGTTACACCAAATGCTGGAAAACAAAGTGCAAAAAAAGCTACACAAAATGGGAGCAGCAGTGATGAGGGAAGTCATGATGATGAGCCTACAAAGGCACAATCACTAAGGCGAAGCTCTGTAAGTTGAGGGCTGATGAATTGATTAATAATCTTATAGTATTTACATTCGGAACATCTACTTCTCGTTTGTAATCAATTGCTTTCATGGAAGCCTACACGAGTTGCAAAGAAAAGAAGTGAATCTGAGGACGAATGTTCAGAGGACAACAGTTCTAGCGAAGAAGACACTTCCGAGGAAGAACACGAAAAACCTTCCAAGTCTCCAAACTCCAAGTCTCCAAATAAAAATGTAAATACCACTTCCTCAAATAATGTTAGTTAAACTGAGAAATCAGTTTTTTTTTCTCATAAAAATGAATTTGGATTGACTTCTTGGTTTTGATGTGGCCTTGTGTAACTATTTTGTGACTGCTTGTTTGATGTTTAAAAAAAAAAAAAAAATTCTGTACTCATGCGTCAAAAGATGTGATGAGATGCAAGTCCTAAAATTAAATGACAGAATAACTGAATAAAATGATTAGAGGCTTCTATTGCAAGGGAAGCAATGGCTGCTACCAGAGCATTTTAAACTTTTTAAGATATTAAATTTTGCTACATCCAAATTCCAAGTCTCCAAGTAAAAATGTAAATACCACTTCCTCAAATAATGTTAGTTCAACTGAGAAATTAGTTTTTTTCCTCATAAAAATGAATTTGGATTGACTTCTTTTTTGGTTTTGATGTGGCCTTCTGTAACTATTTTGTGACTGTTTGGTCGATGTTTTAAAAAAAATAATTCTATACTCATGCGTCAAAAGATGTGATGAGATGAAGTCTTGAAATTAAATGACAGAATAACTGAATAAAATGATTAGATGCTTCTATTGCAAGGGAAGCAATGGCTGCTACCAGAGCATTTTAAACCTTTTAAGATATTAGATTTTGCTACATCAGCAGCTGCCACTGATGCAGAAAAATCAGTTACATTTAATTAATTAAAGATTATGCTGCTGGTCATATGATTTGGATTATCATTCTATAAGAGATGGAAACACTCAGAAATTTCTATGGGTTTGTGCATGTGTTTACCCTTTGGGTTAGTAGCAGTTCACATTATGCTAAGATTGAGATTTTGCATAACTAATTTTATCAAAATTAATTTTGAAAGAAATGGAATGGATGTTTATATTTGCATCTGTTTTTCAAGGGTTAACTGGAATGCAACTTATGAGCTCGACTTCTGAAAAACCCTGTACTGTTGATTCCAAATTGATTCCTCTGAAAATTTTCCAAAAATTTCTTGGCCAAACAGGACAGCGATGTAGACATGGTAAATGCGGTATCACTGAAGACAGAGAGCAGGCAAGCTGATGCTGAATTTGGAAAAAAAGTTGTAAGCACTAAAATTTTTATTTGTAGTTTTATTTTATTTTGTGTGTTTGCAATTGAAGAGAGAATGTAATTTTTTATATGCAGCCCCAAACACCAGTTACTCAAGTTCAAACTGAAGGATCAAAAACCCTGTTTGTTGCCAACCTATCTTTCTCTGTTGAACAAACTGATGTGTACGTATTGCCTATAGTAAATTTGAGTTCCAAACTTCCATGCTGATTTTCATTTGACAATTATTTATTCCTCCAGGGAGGACTTCTTTAAAGATGCTGGAGAAATTGTACAAATTCGCTTTGCATTAGATTATGAAGGAGCATTTAAGGGCTATGGCCATGTTGAATTTGCCACAGTAGCAGCTGCGCAGAAGGTACATCTCTCATTTTTCCAATTCACAGTTTAGCTTTTACAAGATTTCTAATAGCCAATATCAGGCCGGCTTTGTTGTTTATATTTTTGTTTTTAGGGTGGGAGATGTTCATATTGTCTGGAACGCTGGAGTTGTGGATTTTGATCATTCAAAGCTATCAATAATAACATTAATAAATGTAATGACGATGATAACAATAAGAAGATGTTTATTCTCATCCACTTCATGGACTTGGCTGCAATTATTACAACTGAGAAATTAGTATGCATCTGATTGGTTGATTAGGACTCAGGAATCTCAGTGGTGCTGTCCTTTTTCTGTAATGATACAACAATATTTGGTATTGATCCCTTGTCTTCTGGTATCTCATAAAGCTACTCATTTTATGTGCATAACATTCCTTGGATTACACAGGACAGTGGTTTTTACATTGACACATGGACAGCCTTGTTGCCATTTTGTGCAATTGTTCTTCAGCTTGGCAATCTTTGATAATCACGTCTTGTATAAAACCTTTTCCATGTTACAAGGACTTGAGTACTAGTGTTGGGTGTTGTTATGTGTTTAAAGGTTAGATTCATCTACTTCTCATGTCCATGGACACTAGGAACTAGAGCTATTTATAGAATGTCAGTATTATGCATAGACACAAATTACGAAACAATGTTTCAACACATTTTGAAATTCATGTTACAAACATCCACAGTTTAGTTTTTAGACTAAATAGTGTTGATTATTTGATAGTAGGTTCCTATTTCCGATATGGATTCCAGATTGTTAATTACAATTTACATATTTTAAACAAGTGAAACCTCCAATTAATGAAGAACAAAAAAAAATTAACAAACGAGAATTTAAGCAAAAGAATTATTCTATTAAAGTTTTGGTTTTTTAGAATCCCTAGATACACAAATTACAATTACTGGGTTGGGAACCCTTTACGCATAGCTTGCCATCACTGTGTGTTGCAATGTTGATTGTTAAGTGTTGAATGTTTGTTTCTCTTCACAATTCCCTAGCCTCTAACTTTCTCTAAACTCTTCTTGGCTTTCGAATTCTCTCAGTCTCTCTCTTCGTTTTTATCGTTTTTTTGTTTCTCACTTTTTCATCCCCTCTTGTGTGATGGTCCTCATATTTATAGAGGGACATCTACATGATAAGAGACCTATCTTCACGTATCACTTACTTGTATAGGTTCAAAGACTTTGAATTTTAGGGCTTCATCATCCTATTGAATCTAGAACATTAGCATAAAGCGTTTTTGGAGACTCCAGTTTGTGTCCCAAGTTTTTTATGCTTGGGACATTAACTTAAAGGGTTTTTGGAGAGTTGATCACCAAATACCAAATTTCCTACACAATTTATGAAGAAATTAGGATCTTCTTATGCAACCTTTGTCATAATCATGGTCTTCCTTTCCTTGGTGAATTTTATGAAGAGTTCACACCTTCTAATGGTGTCTTGTATTCATCTAACATATCCTCTATTTGTCATGGCCTCTTCAACATTAACTACTTACAAAACAAAAAGTTCAGTAACTGGACTTCCAATTTCGGTGATGAATTCTCACTTCTTGAAACTCCTTCTGATGTTCATTTCCGACGGAGAGATGGGATTCCTAATGAGGTATATCTGGCTTAGTGGGTTTGTCTTCCCTCACTCGTCTGGGAAATCCATCCTACTACTTTCGTTGTGGCTACCAAAATGGCTAGTAGTTTTTTGTTCAACCTAACCATCCCTGCTTTTGCATATCTGTACTATCACCTTCTCCTAGGAAAGAAAATGTTTAAGGTTCTCTTCATTATTTTGTTGGGTGGGTTTCTCTTTACTTGGCCAAGACTTAATTCTCACGGTGATCCTCCCAAATTATGACATATCTTTCATATCATACCTTGGGTTCATTGGGAATCAGTCGGCCACTCAATTTTTTCCAAATGGGCCCCCTTATGTAGATTCACCTGTTAACTGTTTCAGTAAGTGTCATTTTAGGGCTCTCACCCATAAAGATGAACCTTTAGGTACCCTTTCCGATTCTGAAGGGATATCTTCTTTCTTACTCAGTTACTTGATATCTTTGAGACCAGGGATTGTGACCCTTAGGATGGATCCGTCTTTACTACGAACTGGGATCCCAAGAGAAAGTGTCTGCATGTATGCAAGCAATGAATAACTGTTGTCATTTCCTTCTCTTGCACCGTGTACCTTTGTTCAGTGTCATTGAGCTTGCGATTTTCATAGGCAACAGGATGCCCATTCTGCATAAGCAGGTCTCCAATGGCAAAGTCAAAGGCATCCGTGTGCACCTCATATGGCTTGGTGTGGTCGGGTAGCCCCAAGATTGGTTCCTCTGTCACCGCCTTTTTCATATCGTCAAAGGCATTTTGTCATTTCTTTGACCAATCCCAGGTCTTGTTCGTCTTCAGGAGGTTCGTGAGTGGTGCTACCTATGCCAAATACCTCTTTATGAACCACCAATAATAGTTGACTAGGCCAAGGAAAGACCTTAGCTCTGTCACTTTGGTAGGAGCTTTCCATTCTTGTATCGCCCGCACGTTACCTTTTTCCATGATAAGCATCTTGTCCTTGATCTTGTGCCCCGAGAACATCACTTCATTCATGGCAAAGGAGCACTTCTTCTCATTCGCGTAGAACTCGTTATCCCTTAGCACTTTGAACACCGGCGTCCATAGATGATCCACATGGTCCTTCAACGTGTTGCTATAGACCACAATGTCGTCCAAGTAAACCACTACAAAGCAGTCCAAGTGAGGATGAAAGATCTTGTTCATTAACGTGTAGATTGTGGCTAGGGATTGGTGAGGTGAAAGCGCATCATTAAGAAACTCGTAGGAGCCATGTTCAGTGACACAAGCAGTTTTAACTTGGAATTGCGGAATTGCTACCCAAGCAGGAGTGTTACCCAAAAGACAACTTAAGAGGGGAGTGAATTAGGTTTTACAATTAAAAATTAATAATACCCTAATAAAAATTATGACTAGCACAATAAATAAATACAGTTAATGAAATCAAATTAATTAAAACAAGTGTTCTAACAACTATGTCAGTTAATGATTTTAGCATAGTGAAAATGTAAAATATAGCTACAGTAATTTAAATAAAATAAAGAGATAAGGAAGAGAGAGGCAAACAAATTTATAGTGGTTCGGTTTCAACTCGGCCTACGTCCACTCCTCAAACTTCACTTGAGATTTTTCACTATACTCTAACTTCACGAGGGTGCTAGCAACCTCTTTACAAATGGAGTAATCCTTCACGGATTTTACATAGACTTTCTAAGTCAAGAACACTGAGTGTACTACACTCTTACAAGATTGGAAAGATGGTGTTTTTGCTTTCACAGAAAGTTACAAGAATTATCTCTCAAAGATAGATACATAAAATGAAGTTTTAATTTTTTTGTAAATCTCACACAGGAAAGATGAGCTTAATACTATAAGGCTCAATGTATAATTTCTGAGAGAGGAAGTAAACAAAAATTAAAAAACACTTCTCAGATAATTTTTCAGAGAATAGATGCGAGTGATTATAGATCAAAGAATATTTTCTGATTTTTTTTTGTAACTTGTTTACATTAGAGGTTTTGGTATATATAATGAAACTTATAGCTGTTTATAGCCGTTGTATTCATTTGAATTTATATCCGTTGTACTCCATCATTATTAATTTGAATATCTTCCACTCCATCATTACAAATTTGAATATCTTCCACTTGAACCTTTTGAACTTTTTGAACTGCTGCTGTGCTGGGTTGTTTGAACCTCTATTTTGGGCTATTTGAACTCGTGATTTAATCAAATATTAAATACATTCTAACAACATTTAGGATAAAGGTTTAGGTGAGAAATAATGGGACAAAATAAATTTTGATTCTATTTTTCTCTTTCAAATAAATTAAAACATAATTAAATAAATCATCAAAACAAATTTTGAATTCAAAACATAATTAAATAAATCATCAAAATAAATTTTGGATTCTATTTTTCTCTTTCAAATAAATTAAAACATAATTAAATAAATCATCAAAATAAATAAGTCTAACAAGGAGTTTCCTGCTACTAAGAAATGAACTTCATTTGTTAGAAACACGTGGTTAGAAGATGTTATGCGTTACTGAGAATGTTGAGTGAACCATCTAGATTGGTAGTTGCCTACCATTTATATGCCTTCATTGTAGGCTCTCAAGTTGGACGGCCAAGATTTGTTGGGTCGTCGTGTGAGACTTGATTTGGCGAAGGAGAGGGGCTCTTACACATCAAATAGCGGGTATTTTCCCCATTTCCCCACCTCAAGCTAGTTTCAAGTTACTCTGATTAAGTTTCTATGAATTTAATTTTCAACACCAAATATTGTAGAATGGAAAGAAATTCGTACCAAAAGAGTGGGAGAGCCCCAGGACAAACTATATTTATTCGAGGCTTTGATAAAAGCAGCGGGGAGGACCAGGTATAATGTTGCAAATAACATTCCTCTAGCACTAGTGTTCCTTTTCTGTCACATTCCTATATCTCTATGCATGATGTGCAACAAATATGGATTGCATGGATTGCAGGTCAGGAGTGCGCTGGAAGAGCATTTTGCTTCTTGTGGAGGGATTTCAAGGGTAACCATTCCAAAAAACTATGTTGGTGATGAACTCAAAGGGTGTGTACCTTTTCTCCTAATTTGAATATTGTGGGTTATGGTCTTAGAATAAATTGAAACTAATATTAAAACTAATTTCAATTTGTTGAATGTAGTCAAGATATATGGGTTGGATGTGTTGTGATGTGCATTATTTGTTTATCAAGATACCATACATGTCAATGATTAAATAACTTTAGCAATTTGTGTCGTTACTCGATAATGCAATAATTATGGCCATACAGAAATGCAATGGCTACAAAGGACTATTAGCTCTTTAAAGAAGGGTAATTAAACAGTGAACATATGTGTTGTGGAATGTTAATTCTTGGATAAGTTGTTGGCTGAGTTTTATTTGTTATGCTTTGTCAGGCAGTATTAGCTGGGACTAAAGTTCTGTTGAGAAGATGACTCAGCTGCTGATGTGTCATGTTGAGTAGGCTGTTAAGATATTCAAAGATTGCTGAAATAAAGTTGTTGGAGTATTTTTGAATAAGTCAAAATGTTTGAAAGCTTCAAAGTAGTTGTTACTAGAAAATAGGAAACTAGAAGATAAACTCATCTATTCATGGGCTTGTGATGCTATTTCTTTGCAAGTTGTTATGCATTTCTGTTATATTTCTCATGTATATAAAGCACTTTCTAGTCAATAAAATTGCAGGTCATTTTGGCAGCTCATTTTTGTTCTTACATGTTCTTATTTTGTTACTGTTCTTGAAAAATAACAACATATTAGTATCAAAGCTGTTTTCTTAAGGGGCCTATGTGAGAAATCCTGAGAGATCTTTCACCAAAACACAAACACCTGACCTTTCTAAGCATGGCCTCAAATGCTCTCTCTCCAATAATACCACCAGTTTTCACTGGTGAGAATTATCAAACATGGGCAGTAAGGATGGCTGCTTATTTGCAAGCAGTTGATCTTTGGGAGGCAGTTGAAGCTGATTATGCAATCGTTCCATTGCCTGACAATCCCACTATACAAGAAATCAAGACTCACAAGAAGAGGACAACTAAAAAATTCAAAGCCAAGTCTTGCCTCCATTCAGCAGTTTCTGAAGCTATTTTCACCAAGATCATGACTTTGGAGTCAGCCAAAAACATCTGGGACTATCTCAGAACTGAGTCTCAAGGCAATGACAGATCAAGGAGCATGCAAGTGATGAACTTAAGGAGGGAATTTGAGATACAAAGGATGAAGGAATCAGAGACCATAAAGGAGTACTCTGATAGGCTGCTGAGCATAGTAAACAAGGTAAGGTTGCTTGGAGAAGACTTGTCTGATCAAAGGGTTGTTGAAAAAATCCTAGTAACCACACCTGAAACGTTTGAGCCCAAAATCTCCTCTCTTGAGGAATCCAAAGACTTAACAAGTATTTCCTTGGCAAAATTTTTGAATGCTTCACAGGCACAGGAGTAGAGAAGACTGATTAGGCAAGAAGGGTTTGTGGAGGGAGCTTTGGAGGCCAAACTACAAATCCAGGATAAAAGTCAAGGCAAGAAAAGGAAGGGCAATAAAGACAACTCAAGCAAAGGTAATGCTGAAGATGGAGACAGCAACAACAAAGGAGGAACTTACCCTCAATGCCAGCATTGCAATAAAACAAATCATCCTCAATCTAAGTGTTGGTGGAGGCCTGACATCAAGTGCAGAAAGTGCAACCTGTTAGGCCACATAGAGAAGGTTTGTAGAAGCAAACAACAGCGAGAAGGTGAAGCTAAAATGGTGGATCAGCAGGAGGAGGAGCACCTGTTTGTTCCCTCATGTTATGCAAGCGAAAGCTCTAATGAACACTGGTTAGTTGAAAGTGGCTGCACAAACCATATGACCTATGACAAAGAGCTCTTTAGAAAGCTAGATAGAACTAAAATTTCCAAAGTCAAGGTTGGAAATGGTGAGTTCATTGAAGTAAGAGGCAAAGGGATAGTAGCAATTGAAAGTGTTTTAGGTACAAAACTAATCACTGATGTTTTATATGTGCCTAGAATTGATCAAAATTTGCTAAGTGTTGGTCAGCTACTTGAAAAAGGCTAAAAACTGTTGTTTGAAGATAAAAAGTGCATGATTAGAGATGCAGATGGCCGCGAGGTGTGTACAATCAAAATGAGAGGCAAGTGCTTCTCTCTAGATCCAATGAAAGAGGAGCAGACAGCATATCAAGTCTCCATGAACGCAACAGAAATTTGGCACAAGAGATTGGGCCATTTTCACCATGGATTACTCATATATATGCAGAAAAATCAGCTGGTACAAGGGTTACCTCCATTAGAAGAGCATCTACTTGGCTGCAAGGCTTGTCAATTTGGAAAACAAAGTAGATTGCCATTTCCTAAAAAGGCCTGGAGGGCTTCATAGAAGCTGCAACTAATACATACTGATCTTGGAGGGCCTCAGAGAACCCCATCATAAAAGGGAAGTAAATATTATATTGCTTTTATAGATGATTTAACAAGAATGTGTTGGATTTACTTCTTAAGGTTTAAATCCGAGGTTGCAGCTGTGTTCTGGAAATTCAAAGCTTGGGTGGAAAACCAGAGTGGCTGCAAGATGCAAGTATTAAGATCAGATAATGGCAAGGAATACACCTCAAAATAGTTCGATTTGTTTTGTGAAGAAGCTGGAATTGAGCACCAGCTGACAACTCCATACACTTCACAACAAAATGGAGTGAGTGAGAGGAAGAATAGAACACTCATGGAGATGACCAGATGTCTGCTACATGAAAAAGGGTTGCAAAAAAAAATTCTAGGCAGAGTCTACAAATACTGCTATTTTTCTACTTAACAGACTTCCAACAAGGGCTTTGAAAAGAAAAACACCCTTTGAGGCTTGGTATGGATACAAAGCTTCATTACATAACTTCAAAGTATTTTGTTGTCTGTGTTTTTCATATGCGCCTCAGGTGAAAAGAGACAAGCTTGATAAGAAAGCAAAACCAGGAGTCTTTATTGGTTACAGCAACATCTCTAAAGCTTGCAGAGTTTCCCATCCTCAAACAGGGAAAGAATGAGCAATGGAATTGGGATGATGGAGAAAAAGATCAATTTTTAGAAAATTTGCAACCTTCTGAAGACAATGTTGATGACCCACCAGTCAGGGGAACAAGACTACTTTTTGACATTTATCAAAGATACAATGTTGCTGTAATGGAGCCTGTAGGATTTGAAGAAGCTAAAAAGGATCAGAAATGGATGGAAGCTATGATAGAGGAGATGAGAATGATAGAGAAAAATTACACTTGGAAACTTATGGAAAAACCTCAAAATAGGAAGATTATAGGATTTTTTTTTTTTTTTTGGTAGGTAAATTTTTTTAGATTATAGAAGTTAAATGGGTGTTTAGAACCAAGTTAAATGCAGATGGATCAGTTAACAAGTATAAAGCAAGGCTAGTGGTGAAGGGTTATGCTCAAATCTACGGTGTTGATTTCTCTGAGACCATTGCACCTGTGGCAAGGTTAGACACAATCAGGTTGCTGCTAGCAATTGCAGCACAAAAATGCTGGAAGATCTATCAGCTAGATGTTAAATCAGCCTTTTTGAATGGTTTTTTGCAGGAGGAAATATATGTAAAGCAGCTAGAGGGATTTGTTATGCAGGGGCATGAGGATAAAGTGTATTTGCTGAAAAAGACGTTGTATGGTCTTAAACAGGCACCAAGGGCCTGGTACAGCAGAATAGATAGCCACTTATTAAGCCTAGGCTTTGTAAAAAGCCTAAGTGAATTTACTCTGTACATGAAGGAGGCTACTGAATTAATTGTTGTGTCTGTTTATGTTGATGACTTTCTTATAACAGGGACCAATAAAGAGCTTCTAAAGGAATTTAAAGTAGAGTTGCTTAATGTGTTTGAGATGCTAGATTTGGGCTTGATTTTTTTTTTTTTTTTTTTTTTTTTTGTTTTGTTTTTTTATAAAGAGGGGGAACACACCCATGTGATAATAATAAAAATAATAAGAATGATAATGAGAATTTGCTCAGTGTCCAGCAAAGTGATGGGAGATAGGAGGAGAGAGAGTGTGTTTGAGTAATATATTATAATAAAAAAAGATATATATAGATATATATGGGGCAGTGGAGAAGATGGGTTTTAAAAAATAAAAAGGGGGCAGAAAAACTAGCTGGCTGGGCCTGAGTTGAAGGTGCAGATGATGCAGTTGAGGCCGCACCTGATGCCCCACCTGATGCCCCACCTGATGCCTTGTTCTTAGATAACATGATGACAACAAAACTATTTTCAGCAACTTTGTTTTCCTCCAATGTTGGCGAATCCTTGAGAATGGATAAGCATCTGCTGTGCATTTTAGAGGTGGACAATGGAATTCTGGAGGGAAATGTGACAGTGGATCAGAGCCAATCAAGAATGCAACATATCTTTCTGAATTTCCACAGAAAATGAGAGTGTTGGAGGGGTTGATGAAAGGGATGAAGACCCAGTCTTCTATCTGAACATCACAAGAATGACAGATTATCGCAAGGATGCACACCCATCAATTTACAGGAAGCTGAACTTCACGGAGGAGGAGAGACGATCACCATTGAGATTCCAAGATTGCAGCCATTGGTGCCTTCCTGGTGTACCTGACACAAGCTGCTATATCTATATCTAACAATTCAGTTTTTCATGGGAAAACAAAGCATTTTAAGATTACACTTTACTTTCTCAGGGAAGCACAGAAAGAAGGAGAAGTACTGTTGCTCCATTGCAAAACAGAAAATCAGGTTGCTGATATTCTGACAAAAGCACTTTCTAAAGCAAGGTTTGAATTCCTAAGAGAAAAATTGGGAATGAGCAGCAGCTGATCCAAGGAGTGTTGAGAAGATGACTCAGCTGCTGATGTGTCATGTTGAGTAGGTTGTTAAGATATTCAGAGATTGTTGAAAAAAAGTTGCTGGAGTATTTTTGAATAAGTCAAAATGTTTGAAAGCTTCAAGGTAGTTGTTACTAGAAAATAGGAAACTAGAAGATAAGCTCATCTATTCATGGGCTTGTGATGCTATTTCTTTGCAAGTTATTATGCATTTCTGTTATATTTCTCATGTATATAAAGCACTTTCTAGTCAATAAAATTGCAGGTCATTTTGACAGCTCATTTTTGTTCTTATATGTTCTTATTTTGTTACTGTTCTTGAAAAATAACAAGTTCAGTGGGGGGTTTACAGCCATATGTTGTGCACGCCAGGGTAGGGTGTTTATGTATCAATCAAGAAGAATAAAAATCTGGTAATTTGAGAGTATTAGCCGAGTTTTACTGTGTGTATCAAGGGATAAAATACATTTCAAGACTTCATACTGGATGAAATGATATTGAAACCTTTTTTTTCGGTGAATAAAATATTTTTGTAATAGATTTAAAGTTTGATGCTTTGATGTTATTGAAACCTGCTAATTGGGTTGGGGCTTGTTGAAGTAAGGATCATTTATTGATCATCACTTTGCATCAGCCAGATGTGGTGTGTTTGTTTAGTTTGGAGATTTTATTTTAAGCAAGGGTTGTATGAACACCTGAGGGATTATTAGCTGCATTATTTTAAGAAGGCTTCCATGCCACTGCCTTATTACCAAATGTTGAAATAATATGACAATAATTGTGCAACTGACTAGTACCCAAGGCTATTAGGACTTGGCCTGAGGTTGAGATTGGTGGATGACATACATGCTATATATATATATATATATCAATTAGTTCTTTGTCTCTTTTTGATTGCAGGATTGCTTACATTGATTTCAAGGACAGTGACAGTTTCAACAAAGCTCTGGAACTCAATGGATCTGAACTTGGAGGATATACTCTGATGGTGGAAGAGGCAAAGCGGAGAGTTGATAATCGTGACTATACTGGCAGTGGCAGAGGTGGTGAAAGAAGTAGTGGTAGATATGGTGCTGGTCGGTTTGGAGAAAGTGGCGGCCGGTTTGGAGGTTGGTGGTAGAGAAGGATGTGGAGTGCGCAGCAAACCAAGCATAAGTACTGCTGGTGGTATTGGTATGTTGGCTTCCAACTTGTTTTTAATCATTCTTTGATGATGAGAGCATCTCTTTCGTTGAATGAGTTTTCAAGTTTGGACTGGGTTTCGTAAGAACTGGATTACTGCTCAAAATATTTCTGAGCTGCATTGCTCCGGTGCTTTTGAGGCTGTGGGATGATTGATTCTATTTCCTATCCCATATACTTTTGCCATTTTCTGATTATTTTTTATCCCATGTACTTTTGCAGGGAAAGAAGCTACATTTGCTGATTAGGATTGTTATGAAGGGATTTTGAAGTGATGCTTGGGATTTGGTATCTATTTGTTTGTGTCTCTCATTCTAGTTAGTTAGTGTGTGTGTGTGTGTATATATATATGTATGTATGTATGTATGTTTTGGATAAGATTGTAGTTGTATTGTTTGACTTGACACTGGAATTGTTTTTGGTTCCTGCTTAGTTTTTGCGCTCGATATCTATCTATACTGTCCTGTTATATTTTTATCTGTTTATTGATAATTGCCATTTTGGGTTATACGAGAGTTAAAATGCATCTGTGGGGGGTTCAAACTATAATGCAATTGCTTTGTAGAGCCCCTCAGGACAAGCAAGCCAAGCCTTGATTCTTTATGGGCAATTGTTCTACGAAGTCTGAAAAAATATGATTGAACAGTTATTTCTTTTCAGTAACTTAACATAAAGGGCCAGTTACACCGAACCTCCCTTGATAATTGCCTAAATTACACCTAGCCCCACTTGTATTGAAAAATGACACTGGCCTTCCTTGAAACATAATAACATTTCCGTTAGTGAAATGGATGGAACTAGCTTATGTCATCAAATTTTAAATAAAAATACCCGTTTTACCCTTGATTTTTTTTAATTTTTAATATTTTAATTTTTGAAAGAAAAGAAGGAAAAATAGGCTATTGTCCTCCCTTTACCAACCCCCACCACTGCTCTTTTTTCTCCGTCAATATTCTCCCACTCCATCACTGCTCTGTCCTCCCCATGAGCCAATGTGTTGGCTTATATTAAGAGCAATGAGGGAGCTATATTAAGAGAAAAGGTGAAAGGGGAACATGGCTATCGACCCATCCTCCACCACCACTTCCATCTCCGCTCGGCGCCACTACAATTACCCTGTTTCCTTCTTCCCAATGTTGACCCACCATTTTTTCCCTTCTTGCAGCGCAGCAACTTCTGTCCCTCAGCTAACCCAACCCTCTCCTTCCCCTTTTGCAATGCTATTATTACAAAATTTCATCACATTATTACAGTTATAACCAATTACAACTAGTGAGTGTAATGACGACTCCACCTCCCAACGTAGCTCAATGCGATCCCCTCCTTTATTTCCTGAAAAGGAAGGGATGAGTTAACAAGCCTAGTAGATAATTAAGTCGGCTGATGCACCAAAAGTTTTCCAGGCCAAATGTAATGGAATGAAATGGACTCAAGCCCCAGCAGAAGCTAGCAGCAAGTCCCTCTTGACTGGTGGTTTGAGGAGGTTTCAGTTCTGTCTTTGGACTGATCACTTTCTCAGGATTCATTAGTATTGCCATGAAGGTAAAAGATGTGAGATTTGAATTGATTGGCGTTGGTGCAATCATGCAGTTGCTAGTATATGAAAAAAGTACTAATTGCAGTAACAATGGCAATGACAATTGTATTTTATAATTTTGGGGCTGAATTAAGAGGCTTTGTGTTGATTGATTTTTTCTATTTTATTTATGCATGAGTTTTTTATTTTGTTCTCTTGAGTTTATATACACACACACACACACACATATATATATATATATATTTGAGAAAAGTTATAAAGCAATTATATTAAAATAAATGTCAACATCATATAGAACAATAAAAAAAAACAACAAAGGACCAAACAAGAAAATCCATTGAAACTTCAACAACAAACAACAAAATCCGTCAAAAAAACTAGCAAATCACTAATCTACTCATAGATGTGAATTGAAAAATAAGACTTACATCTAAGAAGAACACAGCCTCATCCTTGTTGTCGCCGTCATTGTCGTTCCTACCGCCACTGCTCAACTCCATTGTTGCCGTTGTTACCTTCTTGTAAATCGGTCATTGTTGGAAGCCGGAGTTAAAGAAGAAAAACACTTACAGTAGTAAGGGATGAGGATTGAAAAAAGAGGGAAATCTTTGATTGTGAAACTTTAATGCGTGGATAGAGCTGAATTGGATTGTCTAAGTAGTTCACAGTGGTGGTGATTGCTAGTGGTGGTAGAATGGACAAATAAAAAGATAAAGTGGACGTTAAGTGACACGTGGATAAATAAGGAGATGACACTTGGACGAGATGACACTTGGACGCCACGTGGATAAATAGGGAGATGGCACTTGGCCAGATAAGTGATGTGGAAAGATATGAGACAAAAATAGACAGATAAGTAAGAGTATTATGGCCTTTCAAATTGTTTTGTCCTTTTAGCTCCAAAAGAATAGACATTTGGGCTATTGCTCCAAAAGTTTTAAAATTAGACTCATGCCCCAGTTCCCTTTAAAAAATGTAAATTAAATAAATATGCATGACAATTTTATATAATGTTAACCTATGAAATAGTGAAAATAAAAATTTATTTACTTATGAAACTGATTAGTTAATGAATTTTAATATTTAAACAAAAAATAACTATCCAAAAAACGAGAGAGTGGGTGTAGGAGTGGAGTGAGAATATTTTAGTAGAATTAAAAATCAAAATATCGAATTTTAAAAATAAAAAAAAAATTATTTAATTTGATTAAATCAAGGATTATTCAGTAATAAATCAGGCCCAGGTTAATGAGATCTTCCGCCTATTTAATTTTTAAAAACCAGGACCTAACAATATACTAGTTGATTGCTCACACATTGTCGAGCATCACTTTAATTTGCTTGAGGAGAAAATAATTTCTCTTTAATTTAAGGTAGGTAATTGATGTAGCGGAAACGTGAGAAAGTAACAATCTTAGAATTCATTGATTGAAAACTTAAAATCGGAAACAAAATTTCTTTCTATATTTGTTGATTCACAAAGAATACTAAAAATAAAGGATTAACACTGGTTGATTCTCAAAAAATACCCAATGTTGGAACAAAATAGTATAAAACTTAAAATATATTAATTCTCCAAAAACTGTAGATCCCTAAAGCTTACATATATTATTTATTAATAAAGGCATACCTAACCTAATAGGAAACAATTAGAATTGATAGTTTCATAATGAACAATATAGAAATAAGGAAATATAACAAAAATTATCAAAAATAGAAATATTGCAATAAAATAAAATAAAAAACTACTAATTTATGCTTCTACGATAATGGTAGATTCGACGATATCAGATTCCAAGGTTTACACTAGGAGAAATTGAAGTTTCAAATCTTTTCAAAAAATGGCAAATTCGCAAAATTGATGATAGATTTTGCTCAAAATCCACTGGGGTCTATCAATCCACCAAATTTCATGCAATTTCGAGATTGGCCCGCTTTGTCTTGCCTATCCCTTTGATCCAAGAATTATATGCCATTCATGCTGCAAAGTAATTCATATTATTTCCAAGGTGTGCCACTCCAGACATTAGTCATTCTAATGATTGGCAAGTCTGACCATTCATTAAATAGATGAGCTATATGAGAACTCATTTCACTAAAGTTGTGGTCTAATAATCATTTAATTGACCATTTTCCAAGATCCTTAAAAACCCAAAAAAATTGGAAAGTTTAGACCTCAGCTCTCTCACTAGCAGCTAACAAGAAAAATACTCTTGAGAAATTGTACAAACTAATTCCCTTTTTACTTTCAGTGTTGCTTTCAATAATTTTTTCACTTATGGTCCCTTTTGTTTCTTTCCACATTCACCTAAGGTATAGCTACATAGATAAACTGAATCTTTGGGGAGAACAACCATTACGAAGAAAATGCTCAAATGTAGATGACCAAGATGTTGATGACAAATATGGCAATAAAGATCATTAAAAAAAAAGGGCGCACAGAGAGGAGAATAAAATCATCGACCAACATCTGAATTTCTATTATTGGGTGGCTGTGTCATATGCTTTCAAATTCTAGAGTGTCATTTCATCTCAATTCTTCAGTAAGTATTGTTGAAGAATATATACATTTATAGAAATTGAATGTCTATGCTATAATCATATATGCTCAAGTATTATCTTCCTTATTATTTTTTATACATCCCCATCTTACTTCGAAAGGCCTCTACTAGTTCTACCGTATATGTACCAATGAGATACCATGTAATCCCAGCTAAAACAACCTGCAACCAGGAGCTATTGACAATATGCAATGCCGATGAGCCCCCTATATGCTCTTCCAATCTACCACTCGACCCTTCCTGTATTTGTAAACGAACTATTGCTGCTGCAACTGTTGCTATTGCCATTGGAATACCCCACACAAAAGGGTTTCTCTTCATGTCTTTCCTTACTGTAAAATCTTGATTATTTGTTTTGTAGACATCCTTGGTGGTACGAGAAGACTCCGAAGCAATTCCAGAGCCAGAGATATTCTGGTGGGTAGTTGCCTCAGGCAATTTCAGAGTTGATGGAATCCAATACTCATCGTTATATATGTAACTTGATGGGATTTGACTAATCGGTTTTCCATTCTCTCTTGCATGTTTTCTGGCCGCGGCAGCTTCTTGGAGCTTCTTGATATTTGGTTCAGTGGATTTCTTGCCACTGGGTATCAAATTTTTGCCAGTAGTACTTGATCCTCCTCCTCCTCCAGCACTTGGTGAATGCCAGTACAACCAATTTGAGATTGATCTGATTGCTTGAATAGCTGAGCTTCTTGCTTCTCTTTGGGCATCTGATTCCTAAAATGCACATTTTTATGGTTTATGGTTGGTACATGGTTTGCCTAGAAGGTACAAATTAGACCATATATGAAAAGAAAAAGAAAAAAAACAAAATATGCTAACCAATGGCATAGAAGATTTTTACACATCGTTTACTACTTTAGATTGTCGAAAGCACTGTGAAACTACAGATTTATAATGAACACTTGAGAGTCAGAATAACTAAAAAAACTAGTTTATGGCACAAATACTAGAGAAGAATCAGATAGATATTTGAAGCACTCACTGTGGATTGATCAGTAGAAGAAGCTTTATTCTTAGCATCCTGAAACCTGGCTTGGAATTTCTCCACATCAACGAAGATATTTGAGACGCGTGTACCCACTGCATTGCTTGCACCAATTCTAACATTGCCTCGTGGCTGCTTGGACATTAGGAATTCTAAGGCAGCTAGGTTGGACCTCTCCACAACCCTATGTTTGACACACGAGCGAAAATAAACTAAATCAATTAGCAAATAAAAACCTATAGGAAGACTCAACTCACATGCTTATTCATCGACAGGAAATAGTGGCTGAGATGTCTTTATAACATGGTGGTATAGATGTATGCTGGGATGCCTTTAGATACATTTTTATTTTTTAATTTTTTAGCTCTTAGTGGACAAGGATTTCAAAGCCCTTCAAATATCTTTTTTGGTAAATAAAGCCCAATTTAATTTGATAAAGTAGGCATATGTAAAAATTTTGCTTAGGTGTTGTTGGACTTTAGTTTCCAAGGCCCAACTTCATTTTTGTAATGAATAAAAGTAGGCCTAAAATGTGAGGCTCAAAATCACAGCACCGCAATGCACCACACCGAAGCCGCATAAAATGGTTTAGTTCGATGTATTGCAGTTTGTTCGGTTTAAAAAAAAAAACAAAACCGATTACTTCGGTTTGGCCCAAAATCTACAAAAAAAAAAAAAAAAAAAAAAAAAACCAGTTGAACCGAATTGAACCGATTTCACCCCTCAGCCTTCACTTTTTTTTTTTCCCTCTTTCTAATTTTATATATAATCTTTACAAGTAAAAATAATTCACCTAACTCAATATTTGTGTTTTCTTTACATCAAATAATCAAAAATAAATCATCAAATCATAACTCTTTTCATTCATTATGTTCGTCTCTAACTGCTTTTCTTTGTTCCTTTTTAACTTTATTTTGTATGAACCATAATTTTTAACATTGGTAGCCATAAATACATTACACTTCTCACCTTGTAACTCCTTATGCCTAATGGGAGGGTATAAGATTTCTAGTAAGTGGATGCATAAAAAAATTGAGGTGAACAAGGATACCATTTTCTTTTGATTTAACTCTTCTTTTTTTTCAATTGATTTGAATAGAATGAAATGAAATGATTAAATATGGATTTCAAAGAAGCAAAGTTAGGTGATTAATAAATAATATGCTGTCCTGACTTAATTCGGATGGGGCAGAAACAGAACACTCTTCTTAGCCTTGACAAATTGATAAATCAATGAGGGAACCAAACAGACAGAAGAAGGTTGAGGGAGGTATAAAAATCCTTACGAGATGCAGTCGACTGGACATGCGTCAATGGCCTCATGGATTTTGTTTTCAGGATCGGCCCATTGAGCAACAACCCGAGCTCTCCCATAAACTGATTCAACAGCAAATGTCTTCTCAGCAAGCAAGGCACATTTTAAGCAACCAACACACTTTACTTCATCCACAAACACAGCCCTTTCTTCCTTTTCTGCTCCAAACCATACTGAATATATAGGTTTCCCAGTATACCCTCTTAATTCTGAAAACTTTGCTTGTTCCTGCTTATTAAAAATAAATGCATAAACAAGGAATCATATAAAACAATGCATGCACAAACACTCACAGATGGTAGCCTTTTTTGTGTTCCCCTTTTTTCTCTTTTCTGTCAATTTGTAGATATTTAGGAATATTCTGAGACTCATATTAGACTAGACATTCAACAATATAAAATTAAAAAAATTGGAATCATATTATCATAAGCATACAACAAAACTTGACATGCACACAAGAAATATTTGAACAAATACAAAGATAGAAAATACCAGCACATCTATGAGGAAATTGAACTCCTAACCTGAGGTGCATGGCCTCTTAGCCATCATGCAAAACTAATGCATGTGACAAAACAAGGGTAATTTGGTAGAAAGTTCTATGAATGAATGTTATGCTAGATTAGATGTCAGTCAGCACTATTATTTTTTTTTTATTTTTTTTATTTTTTTCTATACGTGGTAAGTCCCGTTCATTTTAGTCTTTAACATGTTAAGTCCATTTTTAAATTTTAAGTGAAGATTAAGAATAATTTGTCCCTTAGTGGAGCACATCTTATGCGCTAAATTATCTAGCTTTTAGTTTTATTTATTTCAAACTTTAAAATGTCATAACTTTTTTTGTATACACCCATTTCTAATAAAAAATTTATTTTTGAAATGCACTCATTAAGATTTATCAAACAAGTTCAATATGAAAATGAAATTATGTAAAAATTAAAATTAAAAAAAAGACAACTATTTGGTGTTTTTATGCTCGCGTAACTTATAAATTTCACAGTTGTAACTGAGAAGTTTCTTAATTCACAGTGAAATTTCTCAGTCAACTGTGAAATTTCCCCATTTTTTTCCAAAATCTTTTTGTTTGGTAAATATCTTCGAATAGGTTTCAAAAAAATATAATTTTTTTGGAAAATGGATGTAGAATCAAAATTATTTAATTTTAAAGTTTTGAATCAATATAACTTCCTCTAAGTTATTTATGTGCATCTCACATTTTAATAATATAATCAGATTTGATAAATGAGTATACTCCTCACGCTATTCATAACTGTTTGAATCCCTTCCCGTTTGTCTAATTCACTGGCTAAGGTGGTGGGCTTTGAACCTCAAGCTTACCTTCTTGGAGTGGCTCTGCCCTTGTGTCGGATGGATGGGATTCTTGATTATAAAAATAGTAATAATATAAAGATATTTCAGTCAAGTGATGATGGGGCAGACTTTGTATAAATGTCATAATTTTTCTTATCATTAAAAAATATAATTTTTTTGTTAATCACAAAAAATATAATTTTCACTATAAATTGACATAACTTCGTTATTTATATCTCTGGGTTGTATTAAAAAGTAGTATAGCACATACCACCAAAATCATAATTTTTATCATATAAAATGACAGCTTTTTTTTATTATGTGCCCCTTGTTAGGGGTGAGTGCACCTAGAGCCTTTCCTTATGAAAATTAACAATTAAATGTACGGAAAAAATTGAAGTTAAACAAAATTTGAAATTTAATATTAGAATTTAAGATAATTATGTAGATGGAATTGTTCAGGGACAATTTAGTTATGAAAAATATGCGACGGTTCACACATATGTGCTTTATATTATAATAAGTAAGCAGTGTGTGCGCAGTCAATATATGGATTTGTAGTTAAAACTATAACAAATTATAAATTCTAATTTAAATTTGATATAATGGGATCACGAGTCTCATTTTAATTATCTAAATCGTTCATTTTGTCATACATTTTGTATATATCATCCAAACACAAAAATTTAGTCAATCCGCTAATCGTAAAGTATTCAATTTATCTTGTTGTTACCAAACAAATGGATGATAATTGTGTTTTTAATTTATTTTTTATTTACAAATATGATAAATTAAATATATTACGATTGTCAAATTGATCTAATTTTAATTTAGCATATACCCGTGATAGGTTCTATAGACGCAGACAACACTATCTAGTCTAGATTATAGACGAGAAAGAATCCAACTCGTATAATATAGTAGTATAATACATAGAAATTATTGGAAGATAATAGATTAAAAAGAAGAAGATACTGACCTTATCATAAGCAAAACGAGAATTAGGATCAGAGAGAAGAGAGTAGGCATCATTGAGAATGATAGCCATGTCATGACCAGCAGGGCCAGCAATGTCCGGGTGGCAGCGCTTCTGAAGAGCCCTGTAAGCCAACTTGATCTGGGATTGAGAAGAAGAGCTATCAACACCTAGAAGATCATACAGATCCAACTCTAAAGGAGAAGAAGCCTTGCTGCATCTACATGTAAGACGATAATTGTTCTTATTCTGTAGAGCAGTTGGTAGTGTAGTACTAGTGTAAAAACTGCTAGTGTTGGAGAAGAAGGTTTTTGGATTTTTAGTAGTTATGATTAATGAAGCAAAACTAGGAGTGGATCTGTTGTATCTCTTGTTGTTGTTGGTGTTGTATCTTCTGTATGGAGGAAGAAGAACAAGGCTGGCACCAGTGCAATGCATTTTGCTCCTCCCTCCTCTACCTCGATCAGCAAGCAAGGGATGGGATGGGATGGGATGAGATGCGATGAGATATGAGAGATGGAGAGTAAAATGTGGTGGGCGGGCTACGACTATGGGGTTTTGTTTGTACGTGAGATTCTCTTCATTACATTATTGTAATATAATGGAGTATCTTTATTACAAAAAAATTATTTAATATTTTTAGAATATTACTCGGTTATATTTTAAGTTAATTATTAATTATTTAGTTTTATATTGTTTCCTCATCGCAACACAAATTGTGGGCTTCTACTTTTTTTATTTTTTTATTTTTTATGATACATCACTTCAAAAATACTAAATAATTACCCCTTTATTACATAATTGCGAAATTAATAATCACAAAAATTTATTATTATTTTAAATTTTAAAGAATCATATATAATTTTTAAATAATGTAATAAAAAGATTAATCATTATAATTTTAGAACGGAGAGAATCGCAATCTAGTGAAAAAGGTATAGTACACGCCTCTCAATACAGGAATGGACCCAGTATTTTGATGTAGAGGGGGCGAATAGAGTAAAATCTTTTATTTTTAAATATAGACTATAACAGTAATTTCTATTGACATTAATAGTGGGGAAAAAAAGTATGAAAACATACATATAACTAAGGCGAAGTTTGACATATAGTCAAGTTAAAAAGTCAAAAAATTATTTAAAAAGTTAAAAATTTAATATTATTTATCAAAAGTCAACAATTACGGCTGCACAATTTTCAATTCGAATTTTTCCTTATAAATTAATTTTTATAATTTTTTATTACACATTTTTTCATAAAAAGTCAAAAAATTAACCCAAACATCCATATTTTTAACCTCAATTTTTTAGTCTAAAAAGACAACAAGTATACTTATTTAGGAAACTCTATTTTCTTGTATCCATGTTCAATTACGAAAGATGGAAAATGTAAGATAATATCTATTGAAGTGATATATTTTGAGTTGTTATCAATATTTTTCCATATAATTAAAGGCTTCTAAATAGAATCAATATTTAAATTCTTAATAAATGTAATCAAGTAACTTGGTGAATTTTCTTTAACTTTTTCTCTTCTTGAATGTTAATACTTGTAGCTGATACTAGATATGAGAAATTAATTTCGTTTTATTATATTTTATCCAAAATTTTTAATTTCATATTTGGACATCCAGTTTCTTATATATAGAGTAGTGAGAACTTAATTTTTTATTTTTTATTTTATTTATTTATTTTTTATTTTTTTAAAGTTAGAAGAGATGGCCACTTGTAAAGATAAAAATAAATAAATAAATAAATAAAATAGGATGGACGAATCTATATAATTTGGAGATAAAATGTAATTTATAATTATAAAAAAAAATGTCAAAATTATAAAAATAAGAATAAAAATCATAACAAAAAATCTCATAAGTTATAATTAAAATATTATTGTAATTAAAAAATTAATTACAATTAAAGAAAAATAATAATATAACTATACCTATACCTATGATATATCACTTTAATGGTGTGTACAGTAAACAATTTGGCACTCCCACATTTTGGCGTTGGAGATATTTTTTTTTGGGTGGGAGAGGTGAGAGATCAGATATTTGTTTGCGTAACAAAGATCTCTAACGTGTGAGATATTTTGATTTGTTTGCTTTAAGAAAGATAGCGACCCGATCAGGCCAAGCCCCACTCCGCAGCACACAATGGCATGTTTGGTAGAACTGTTGGAAATTGCTTATACCTTATCTCGAAACAGTTTATAACTTATAACAATAAACATAAGTTTATTTCTGACTTATAAATTAAGCATCTTCTGCCCCACTCAAAGATTAAGCTGATTTCTGACTTACAAAAAGTTATAAGCTGTATTGTTAAGTTAAACCAAACACATCAAAATAACTTAAATTAAGCTGAAAGCTGAAATAAGCAGCTTTTAAACTGTACCAAACAGGCACAATGGACAGATCATGTCACCTCCATGGCATTTTATTTCCAGTCCACCGTCGAATTAGAGAGGTGTTGCTTAGTTTAATAACTTTATTTTTATGTTTTATTTTAATAATTTGAATTATTTATATTTTAAAATTTATTGATTATATTATTTTTATAAAAACTTAAGTCAATTAGATAACGATAATCATATATTGAGATCAATTTTATATATTCTCATCGTCCCAAAATATTAGTCTCTTTGGAAAAATTTGTTTTTAGTAGACTTATTACACTTTAAAAATACAAACTTTTCAAAACTACGCTTTCAATTTTTTTGAAAACATTAATTGTCATAATTATACGTTTTGTGTATGAATTTAAAAGGACAAAATATAAATTCATATTATTGTTGTTCTTGATTTTTGAAAATGGACGTGATAAAATAAATGATTCATATAAAATTGATCTAAAAATGTATTTTCAGTTATCTGATCGACTTGATTTTTTGCAAAAATGATATAATCGACAAATCTTAAAATGTGAACCGTTCAGATCATTTAAGCAGAGTCCAAAAATTGGACCAATGAGCCGAACTGGTATGGACTATCTGATGAAGAACTAGAGACAATCTAGTCCCAAAATATAATTGTTTGAAATATTATAAAAAAATAAAGTTTTTTTGGCTTAAAAAAAAAAAGGTGAATAGTCAAGAAACTTATCTGTCATAGGTAAGGCTGTGCAAAATACAGTTTAATTCGTTAAAACCGCATTGATCCAGATCGATCCGTTTGCTAACGGCGGATTGAATTTTTAAATTTATAATCTGCCCTCAAAATCGCTTCACTCTGCTATAGTTAGTACATATATTTTGTTTAAGAGGAGGATCCATGTTGGCTTGTTTTTTCTACGAAAGAAAATACTATAAATGCGAGCGTGCCAGCAAGGATTGAAAAATCCTTACAGATTAAATTCAAACCAATTATCAAGTAATTGTGTTGGTAGTTCTTTTGCCTCAATGAAAAGGATTTCAAAATTGTTAAGTGTAGAGAAAACAAAAATTAAAAGAAGAAGAACGGAGATGAAGAAAGATGATTGAATGAACAATCGAGGTGATTGAGTGAACAATCAAACAAACCATTAATTTACCTCTACTCCTATGCTTTGAAAAGAAAGTGCATAAAATAAAGTGCACAAAATTTACCTCTACTCCTATGCTTCGAAAATGAAGTGCATAAAATAAAGTACAGAAAATTAAGTGCAGAAATATAAATGACAAGAAAAATAGAAATCAATTGTCTTTGATTTGACTTTTAGATCTTTGTACAATGTAGCCATGAATGGCTATTTATAGGCAAACATTTGTAGGAAAAAAACTACCTAATAACTATCACATTTTTCCATTTTCCACACTTCACATTCCATGAATTTCCACTTTATCTTTATGTCTCCATAACTTCCTTTAACCTCCAATTCATGCTCCATGAGCTTCTACATTCTCCATCATTGTTTCACATGTGTTTAATAATTCGTAACTTCTCATAACCTCCAAATGAGTAGGAGAGTGTCACTTGTCCTGCAATTTATCAATAATAATAATAATAAATTATTTATTTATGGTGCCAACAATCCCCCAGTCCAAAATCTAGATTGGAGGGAGCTATTTGGACCTGTGAGGCCCAACATAGGCCCCATTTCGATGATCTGAATTGTTTGTTTTATCAGACACTTTGTGTATTTTATCCAAAAAAAAAAAAATTAAGTAATTTATTGTGTTTGTCACCAAAAAATGTATGGTTTATTTTCAAAAACACAATTATCGTCTATTTTTTTGGTGAAAATGAGATAAATTGAATAGGTTATGATTATCGAATCGACTTAATTTTTTGTGTGAATAAAATATATGAAGTGTCCGACAAAATGAACAGTTTAGATTATCAAAACAGGGGCAATGGTGGGCCCCACGAGCCTAAACAACATCCTCTGGTCGGACTAGAGGGCATACGTCTCCTTTTTTTTAATCCTTAATGAAATATTAATGTTGAAAATCAAGCCACGTTTTCATCAGATGCCATATGCATCAAGCCCTTTTCTTTATTTCATATGCTTTCGGTGATTAATTTATTTCATATGCTTTCGGTGGTTAATCAAGCTAGTTATTATAATAATAAACAGAGTGTATGCTGATATATTTTTAATCCTTAATGAAATATTAAAGTAAAAGTGAGTGTGAAAAATATTTAAGATGTAAAATTTATTGCAAATTAGTAGTTGTATAGATAAAAAATATTATATAAAATTAGTTTGTGTTATATATAAGAAAAATATTATGCAAATATGACCAAAATAATTGTGAGGCACATGAGTAGAGAAACAACGAAAAGTATTATTTTAAGTTATTAAGCGAATTTCCTGATAGAAAATTAAAGAACATCTAAATATTATTCACTAGGCATTGACTCTCTTTCTCCCATATATATATATATATATATATATGTATATATATATGTAGGTGATGATGAGAATGACTTGTTGGAAAAATGGTTTAATATAGGCATATTTTTGAGCCCTTATTTGAGTGGGCCCAAACAACGTTTGGGACAGATTCGAAGAGGTGACGTATTCCTTGCTGCGTGACAAGTCACACGGTGAAGACGGAACGTCAAAACCATTTATGAGTGAATGGGAAGTTGACATCGTTTTCGTGTCTAACATTAATTTTTTAGATAAAATTCATTTGAATTTTTTCAATAAAAATTCTTGTGGGAATTTAATTTAATTTTAAATTCAAATTTTAAGTTCCTAAGTGGTTTTTTAAAATTTGTAATTGTGAGAATTTAATTTAATTCTAAATTCTATTTTAGGTTCCTAAGTGGTTTTCTAAAATTTGTAACTCTTCACTTATTTATTAAACTATTTCAATGATTTAATATATATATATATATATAAATATTTGAAATAGTTTACATAATAAACTACCTTAAGTTTCTTTGACTTGGTTAAGTTTCTTTGACTTAGTCAACGAACGGATCTTTTTTCAAAATTGTGTGGTATAGCTGTTCCAAAAGATGCAAACGGACAGATTCGGTTTTTATAAACTGCAATGAATCTATTTGACATTTCAAAAAAAAGTATCTGTCACACTTTTTGCACATATTCAGCCTACCGGCACCTTTTCGGGGCTGTGTAAATTTTACCTATAAATACTGCCTTGATTCCAGCAGTCTTTACACCAGAAATTCAGTCTGAAACTGTCTCATTTTGTTGTCCAAATTTTTTTATTTGCATTATTTCTTCATAGTAGTTTTAGAGATAATATTAAGAGAGTATAGAACACTAGGTTTGGTTCGCCGTACAATTTTGTTTGGTGTGCTACAACAATTTTGTGAAGATCATTGTATCCTGGGAGATAGACACCACTCAACCGTAAGCACCGTAGCGGGGCGAATCTGTCTTAAGAACAGAGTGTCACACACTCGACTTGGTCTTTAATTATTGATTCGGGAACTGCATTATCAAAAT